AAGTTATGTATTTTTAGAGGCTTGTAGACAGATGTCATGTACGTAAAAGATTATATGGCCTTGTCGGCCTATGTTCAGTGTACGAGTGGTTATTTTGGTCTTATAGGCCCGCATGTCGTATGTATAAGTTGGTATCACATGTTGTATTCTACTTATCTCACGGCAGTCTTCCAGCTCAGTTATCTATGATAATATGACATGAAAAGATACATTACGTTGGTATTCGGTTGAGTAAGGTATCGGGTGCCCGTCGTGACCCATCGGTTTGGGTCATGACAAAAAATACATAAAAAGTAATGGATAATTGAAATAAAGTATATTAGAGTTAGTTACCAATGATTTTGGAAAGAAGTTCTTCAAAAATCACCTCTCGAGTGTTTAGGGTTGAGATATGGTGTAAAATGAGCTAAGTTCTGATTTTTTTTCCTCTTTTATCTTGCTGTAATAACATCATATAAACTTTCTTGCTACCTCAAATCATCAAAATAACATCAAATAATAAGAATCGATCATCAAAACTCATAATTTTCAACTTGAAAGTTCATTTTCACAATTTTTCACGTAACGCACTGAAATTCTCTCGGGTTGCCCCAGACCCCAACCAAAAAGTGCTTACAAGTTCAAAAATATCATACGAACCTATGGAAATCGTCAAAACACCGATCCGAGGTCGTTTATTAATAATGTTGATTGTGGTCAACTTAAATGTCATTTTAAGCCAAAAATCACTTTTTCTTTAAATTTTTATGTAAGAACTTTCCGGAAAAAGACACGGACCATGCACTCAAACCAAGAAATAATAAATGAAGCTAATGGACGTCTCAAAATACAAAAATAAAGGCTAGTGCTCAAAACAACCTATCGGGTTGTCACAATAACCCTCAAGGGGAAGAATCCCTGTAAAAGCCACCTTAAAAATTTAAAGCAACAATGAAATTCATCCATAACACTCATTCAAGGATTTTATAGTTTAACACATCAAAACAAGTTAGCTCTAAAATGAGAGGCTCAAGAATTATTTATACTATAGAGCTAAGTATTATAAGTATAGCTATCAAATATAATATAATCTTTAATTGTTTGTCAAATTGCATATGTAGCCACCTCATCATAAAAGTAGACCCGAACTGGAATCCAAAGTGCTCCATAGCTAATCAAAGATTTGTATCAACCATTGTGCCCTCACTTGTAGATATAGCAGACTGTATATGCATTTGACCGCCATAGAAGGATCTAGAACTCAGACTGATCAGGAGCGGATTTACGTTATGCCAAGCATGCCACGTGACACCGCTTCGCAGAAAGATGTTAAAAGATATGTTTGGGTGCAATATGAAAAAAATTAATTTCAAGTGTATTTACTACAAAGTGACATCACGCGACGTTATATAAGTACTTAGTGGCTTAGTTAAGCAATGTAGTTTTGTTATAAATGTCAAGGGATCGAACCTATGTATAACTTTACTTTTTAACACTCTCAAGAAATCAATTGATACTAAACATTTTGACGCTTCCGGAAATCATATTTAAGTATATAAATGTATTTAAAATACAATTTTGAAAGAACTGTTTGTTATCCTTTTGTCATCTCTCTCATCATCTACGCCAACTTCTGTGGGTTATCGATCGTTATAAGTTGTCTTGTTATTTTTTTGTTTATATTTCTAATTGATTTGTATAAGATATTCGTCGTTTACTTTATGATTTGAATCTCTATAATTTGATGAAATGACTTTTTAGTATGATGTCATTTTGGCAATTCGTTAATCTATTTAGCTTTTTAATAGTAATATCGCTTATGAAAATTTTTGCATACGTACGTCACTGCGGTTTATGGATGGTGAACTAGGAAATTGGCCTATCACGAAGCTCACAAAACATATATCAATTGGAAACATTTAACTTGATCACCTATTTGCTAATCTTTCTTTTAGTGATTGTTGCGATCAAACACACACACAAATATACGTGGTCGTCAAGTAATAAAGTAGTGAGCAGACTATCGTTCCCACTGAGACTTATGATTAACTTTTGACTGATTCAAACTCAAACAACTTATCTATTGAAGAGATTTTTCTCAAAATGTGTAGGTAATTAATCAACAATCAAAGAAACTATCAAGCAGTTAAATAAACTAGAGATCAACTAAAACACATAGGAAATTTCGGATAAAAATTAGTAGGAGAGGATATTCCAGGGTCATAGACTAGCTAACAACCTTGTTGCATTCTTAACTTAAACTGATTAATTGATTTATCTGATTTGTTGATTGCAGGGTTGATGTTACTCATAAGGATCTGTTAGGTTTTTACTCACCTATTCAAGCTAACTTAATGCCTATATGTCTATGGAATTAAGAATAACAAGAATGCATTTACACTTCCTGTACTTCAACCAAGCAAGACAATTAAGTATATTTCTATTCTAATTGCGAAGCCGTTTCCCGATACCCGGGTTCAAGAACTTGCTCTATTTAATCCTATATGCAATCTAAAATTCCCACTTTCGAATACAACTCTAGATTCATAAGTAGTATTTCACTGTTAGCTACGCAGCAAAATAATTAAGACGGAATTAAATAAAAAATTTAATATGATAAAATCAAACTCGTCAATTTAAACTTCAAACATCAATATTATTCATATAGCACCCATGACCCCCGAATAATAAGGTTCTTAGCCACTCATGTTCATAACAATCATCAATAATGTTTTCAAATATAAAAGCTATGAATACTAGACGAAGAATGGAAGAACTGATGAAGTCCGTACTCCCAAGTGTTTCGTACTTTTGTTCCTGTTTCAAAGTAGTGTCCCCGTGCCAAAATAGGTTTAGGTTTGCTTTTATAGGAGGTGGGGGCGTCTTGGGGTCGAAATAACTGAGTCCCGGGCGAACAAGGATATATTCACGTCACCAGTGCCCAGGATAGCGTGCGGTGCTGGCTTTTGCGAATTTTGTGTTGTGCGCCAGAGGCAGCGCCCCAAGCTGCCTGTGGCACTACATTGTGTTTTTTTGCATTTTCTTCCTCTTTTCGCGTCAATGCGCGCTTCTTCGTCCCAAATTGGCTCCGGATGATTCTTACACATAGAAATACCATAAATTAGCACAAATTATTATATTACATATCTGAAATCTACGAGACATAAGTAAAATGCGAGGCAATATGCATAAAACTATACATACATTAAGCCCAATATCATGGTAAAAAGTGAATAATAACGGTATCTACCTTGCACATGACTAAGACTTCTTTTGGCAATAGATAACACTCAAGCTTAGTGGACACATGGTAGAGTGATAACAAATACAACTTACTCAATAAGATTGTAACTTGTACCGATGTTGTTGAGACGTCGGCTGAGTTAGAAGACTTCTTTAGGGAACTTGTCTCATATGCCATCATTTGCATATGTATGTTATTAGAGGTTCTAGTGATACCGTGTGAGGTCTATTTTATGTGCAAGATAAATGTTTACTGGAAATTAACTTATACTCACCAATCAAACACTTAAATATCTCAAAAGAATAACGTATTTTTCGTTTTGCATCATAACAAAGGGATAACACTTAATTAATTTGGCTATTCTGCATGGTTTTTGAATATATTATAAGATGGCCCATCGTTTACTGCTAAGGCAGGAAAGATTTTGAAAGCTTTTCAGTTCTTCAAAATTAGTGAAAAACTGCCAGGCCTAAGTCAATAATGTCGGCTATAAATTTGATTGATCGTTTAGATATATCACTATGCATAGTAAATATTTGAAATTAACGGGTTTGTGATTTTAGCGTTTTAAGTTAGTGTATTTTAAATTAATAATATTAAATAAAATTTTAAGAAGAATATTAAATTTAAACTAGTTATTTGACTCAGACCGAACTCGTAGGTTAAATGATGTGCGACTTTTCTAGTGTGGGAAGGAGAGGAAATTTCAACTCTTTATACATAACTTGTGGTCCTCATTCTTTGAAAACTGACACATTCCTAATTCATTAAATCATTGTCATCCTTAATAAAAGCTTCTCTTTGCTGTACTATCTGTCATGCACTTGTTTTGTTGTAGTGTGGTGTGGTTCACATATTAAATATACAAGAATTATATGCATTATAAGTTAACATGGTAATTGGCCGTTAACGAATATATGCGCTATATATAAAATAGTGCCCAATTTTTTTATGCGCCTATTTTGGTCCGAGTCCAAAAACCTTTGTTAGGATCGGGAATTTGGGTAGTGCGAAATTTAGCCAAATAACGGTGTAATGACAATAACAAAGGCAATGAAAGTTGATAACAACGACAATTAAAGCATATAAAGAAAATACAAATTTAACGTGGTTCGGTTAAAGTGACCTACGTCCACAAGCGGAGAGCAGTAATTTTACTATACCAACAAGAGTACAAAAGAGAGTACAAAATTAGAGTAAACACTCTAATTAATTCCAAATATCCCAAGAGAATAACCTCACAAAATCACTCCAAAGAAATGGTTCACACAAGTACTTCCCAACACTTAACTCTCATACAAAACACTCTTAATAAAAGGAAGAAAGGAAAAAACAAGAAATGAATACTCAAGTCTTGTTGGTGTGTATTTGGTGTGTCTAAAATGAACTAATAACCTTCCCAAAAAAGTCTTGACCTCTTAGGTGTAAAAGAAGAGATACAACTTGTGCAAATGATGTCAACCACAAAATGCAATATTTTTGGGTCCGAAAGAATATTGCCAACAAAGTCTACTTTGCAAGCATACTTATATAAAATGGAATTCATTAGCCAAAATATTGGCCATAATTACAACCCTGTACTCAGGTTCTGATCGTCTCAGGTAATTTGTCTTATTTTAAAATTATTGATTCCACTTTTTATGAAATGTTATGTGTAATTATTATTTATCTCATGTGTAAATTTTTTTTACATTGTCACTGCATATGAAGAAGTCAAACTCCAAGTTTATATACCACAACTTTGGTTTCTCTAGCAAATGCAAAACCAAATTTGACAATGGCTTACTCCAACATATATTCTATGCTATTTTTTCTTCTGATTTTTCCCCTGCATACTTTAGCTCAAATAAAGGATACTATACCTTTGGGCAGTACTCTTACTGCAAATGAAGAAACTACCCCATGGCTCTCTCAATCTGGAGATTTCGCGTTCGGATTCAAGCAAATTCAAGATCAAAATCACTTCTTGCTTTGCGTATATTACGCGAAAATTAAAGATACCACCATAGTTTGGTATGCAAATGGTGGTAATCTAGTACCACGAGGCTCAATCGCGGAATTAAATCCACAAAGTGGATTAATTCTCCGCGATCCTCGGGGTAAAATGCTTTGGAGCACTGGTCGAGTTGTAACTAATGTTGCTTATGCTGTTATGAATAATACAGGAAACTTTGTTCTTGTTGGAAATGATTCTTCAATTTTATGGGAAAGTTTTAAATATCCAACTGATACCCTTTTGCCTACTCAAATACTTGAAATTGACAACAAGCTGAATTCTCGAAAATCAGAGTCTTTATTTTTTCCAGGTAAGTTTGTTCTTCGTATTATGAGTAATGGGAATTTGGTGCTTAATACTCAATCCAAGCAGACTAATTTTGAACCTGATTCTGAGTATTATAACAGTCATACTTCTGATCCTGGAAATGAAGCCAATTCTGGATATCGACTGATATTCGACGAATTGGGCACCGTTTATATATTAAAAAGAAACAATCAAAGACTTGTGCTAACACCTCCTAATGTCCCTTCAACATCAGACAATTATCACAGGTTGAGTCTTGATTTCGATGGTGTTTTAACTCATTATTATCATCGTAAGAGTATTTCTACGGGAAAACAAAATTGGACTATTCTTTGGTCTGTGCCTGATAACATTTGTTTAGCAATTCTTGAAGAAACTGGAAGTGGAGTTTGTGGGTACAACAATGTGTGCCATTTAAGTGAAAATCAAATGCCATATTGTGAATGTCCAAAAGGGTATTCGTTGATCGATCCGAACGATAAGTATGGGAGCTGCAAACCAAGATTTGTTCCAAATTGTGATGAAATTGGACAGGGTAATCCTGAAGATTTATATGATTTTGATGTTGTGACTGATGTTGATTGGCCATTATCGGATTTCGAAAGGATTTATCCTTCTACTGAAGAAGAATGCAGGAAATCTTGTTTGGAAGATTGTTTTTGTGGTGTTGCTATTTATAGAAGTAATAGTTGCTGGAAGAAGAAGCTGCCATTGTCAAATGGGAGAGTGGACACTACTTTGAATGTAAAAGCTTTTCTTAAAATAAGGAAAGTTTCAACATAAGTTCATTTGTTCAAAATAAGTGGCCAAACAATACTAGATAGTGAGATGTTACTCATATTTTAGACCATTCAATTTGAGATTTGTCTTTCTATTCACTATTCATTGTTTTTGCTACCTTTCATAGCAATCTTGAAATATAAATAAAAATTAAATGGCTTTTGGCTGTTATAAATAAAAATTATCCAAAAATCAATTAGTTTTCCTTTTTTTAATGTTACATGTAAAAGATAGAAAATTATTCAAATTTAAAATCTCAAAAGATATGTATATTTCACTAGTTAAAATATTGAAGAAAGCTAATACATTATTGATAAATTCATAACTAAACGTATAAAGATTTAAATTCTAAGGCAAACATTTTAAAGCTACCTAGAAAAATAAATTCTTTCAAGATTAAGGGAAAAACTTTGTAATTGTAGCTTGTTTCATAGATTTCATTCTCTTACTAGCGATATAACGCTTGAATTGGCGAAGATTCGTGTCCAAAGTTTCAGCAAAAAGGTAGTATTCAATAGCTTTCCTTTGAAGACAATCTAAGAGCTTAACAATTAATTTCTTCCTAAATATTTTTTGGGATTTGCCTAATGAAAAAGATATCATGTGCAAATCTTCAAATCTTATATTTTATGCAAGATAGAAATTTTGTTTAATGGAAAAAATTGTGCGCATATTTTTAGAATTATTATTAGTAATCTTAAAGATTCTATATGGTTGTTATATAAGGGTAATTTTACAAAAGACACTCTGCTATAAATATAGATGTTGTTATAGGTAAAAAGTTGTTATAGAGAGGTAAATATAACTTAAAAAGTCGGTTCTGAAGAAAATTTGACTTTTATAGCGAATGATTGTTATATATAGATGCTGTTGTAAGCACGTGATTTTTGCCCTATATGAGAATTACTCCCAAAAAATTCAAAATAAA